GTTAAATTTTTTAAACATTTTCTAATGGTGGTGTGCCTCGTGATTTTTTTCATGAAAAAAGTGTGCCTTTGCACAAAAAAGATTGAAAAACACTGGTCTAAGCAATAAATAAAGCAACAACAGAATAATTAGATATACTTTTCAGCCACATCACAAAGAATTAATGTGAACATATGGTGCACTGCTTATTCTAATTTTGTATATGTAGGATCAAGTTGGTTATGTTCTCAAAGGTGCATCATAGCATGGCATGAAGACAGTAAGATACTCAAAACTATCTTCTGCTACAGTGATATTAAAAACTATATTAATGTGCATTATCTGTATTAGAATAAACTATTATGTACAACGTTAAGATGTATTTAATGTTGCTCTTCTTACAATTGTTAGACTCATTAGCAGCCCTACTTTGAACTATATTTCTACAAGAACAATAGTGCTTACCCCACACCACCAAGACCATTGCTTGTTCATGTTATAATTAAGAAAGAATAATCTTAGTAGGTAGACAGTGTTACAATTCTTAAAGCTCAATGGGTTAAAAATGTTTGCATGAAAAACAAGAAATACACATATCTAATGTGGTGTGTGGGTGTTTTAATGCAAATGTTATTTAAAGGTTCCAGTTCCTTTACCTTTGCTAGAGATACATTGATTAAGCTGTTTTATTGGTCTATAGATGAAATGCATATTACAGAACATCACATTTTCAATACATAATAGCAATAGCAAAAGGACTTATACACTACTTTAGAGTGCTTTATAGCACTCTTTAAGTGGTTTACCAAGTCAGCATATTGCCCCCAACAATCTGGCTCCTCATTTTACTAACCTTGGAAGGCTAGAAAGCTGAGTCAACCTTGAGCTGGTCAGGATTGGACTCCTGGCAGTGGGCAGAGTCAGCCTGCATTCTAACCACTGTGGCACCACAGCATAATGTTTTAAGGAACAGATTATGAGGTGGTCATAATGAATTCCCAATATGACCAAAAAGAGATTTGGAAACTTTTTTCACTTGACACAGTGAGATAATTATATGCTTATAAATAATTGAAGACTGAAAATTCTAACGTAGACTAAAAACTGCTAAGTACCATTTTAAAAAAAAACAACCATATATTTAATAAAATATTTCATGATGAACTGGCACTCCATCTAAAAATGACACGTCTTTCACCCAACTTTTTAGGAATAAAGATTGTAGCTTAATCAGCAATGGAATTCAAGATTGTAGATGACCAATTGTTGTCACCATGCATGCAATAAAGACTTGCTACCATACTAAATGACATGTGTATTTATGATCATCAGTAGCAGATGAAGAGTCTGAGTCAATAGCTCAGACTCTTTTAGTTTTAATTGTTTTTGTACTGTTGGTACTTTGGATTGGAAAACAAGAGACGCCTAAGTATCCACATAAGAAAATAATTTCTTCCTAAAGACATTTTCATTGAACTACAGAAATCATGTACATGGAACTAAAGAAGTTGTGGTTGCTGACTAAAACTATACAAAGTTGTATAACAAGGTCTGAAGTCATTTTTAGTGTATTATTAGGTCTGTCTGCTTCAAATAAAACACTATTGCTCCAGAGCAGAGAGAAAAACTCTGAAATAAGGATAGATCAAAGTTGCTGCAATAATCCTACATACATTATTCAAATTCTTTTGACTACAATGGTGCTTATTTGTTAATAAATGTTTGTAAGATTACAACTAAATGTTCTATAAGTTGGGGATTTAGAAATGATTCCTTAAACCACACAATTTTGTAAATAATTGATTTAGTTGTTGAAATGAAGAACAAGATAATTCAGGAATTTAATGAATGACAATGTCTCTCATTTTTATATTTTTTCTTTAATCAAATTTGTTAAGTTAGCACTGTTTCTGCCTTTTTAAGTATCAGCTGGATATTTATCCTTCTAGCACAGGGGTGTCAAACTTGCGGTCTGCGGGCCAGATCCATCACGTGCTGGCTCTGCTCCCGCCCGGTTTAACGAAGGGGGGAAAGTCCAGATCCATCACGTGATGGCACTGTGACGATGCAAGTTTGACACCCCTGTTCAAGCAAAAAAAGTTTCTAATTACAGTACTTTCCCTTTGTAAAATACTAAAAGCAAACTTCTTTGAATTATGCAACTGGTATGTGCTGAAATGGGCTCTCAGATCAAGCCACTCAACAGCATACAGTATGGCTCTAAAGAGTATGTGTGACAGAAGGATCATGAACTACTTGTCTGCTCTTCTCTCCTAAGATAGGTTCAGCATGTATTTAAGATTCTCTATAGCAAAGAGCTACAAACTACAGTATTTTTCGGAGTATAAGACACACCTTTCCCCCCCCCAAAAGAGGGTGAAAATTTGGGTGCATCTTATACACTGAATGTAGCCCCACCCACCAACCCCAACCTTTTGACCTCTGCCTCCCAGCAATTTACCTCCTTGAAGCAAACAGGGAAAATTGAGCTTGTGGAGGCTGCAATAGGCTATAGCAATCCCTGCAGCATGAAACAGCTGATGATTAAATAGCAGAGAATAACTATATTTCCAGAAAGCACATCAATTTTAACAGCATCTATACAAGTATAGTCTGAAATGTAACACTACAAACATTGTTTGTTAATATACAAACAATGTATATTATCTGTACTGTTTGCTGTTTGTTGCAAGGAGGCANACACACACATATACACACATACATACACACTATATTGCCAAAAGTATTCGCTCATCCATCCACATAATCAGACTCAGTTGCGAGCAAATACTTTTGGCAATATAGTGTATATAATAAAGATATGTAACTCTGGACAAGCTTGCTGAGCTTATTACATGTATTGGTGTTAGGAGTGATAATGATGTAAAAGCACATATTGAAACAACTTAGATGCACCTACTTTCAGCCAATTTTAAAATGCACAGATGAGAACAATTGTCTAAAAGATACTTGGGGGCATACTTAAAAGCACTTGTTAAAAAAGCCAACTTTAAACTTTAAACAACAATTCAAACTTTTGCACAGAAGTAAGGCCACTAAACACATGCCTTTAGTAAGGACATTTTTCCTATATATACAGAACATTATAGAGACTATTTAAATTAATCCTTGGAATCATCACATTTTTGTCTGGAAAGGATAAAGAAATAATGTACACAGTCTAAATATGGGTTGATATTATACAGGGCACTCCAAAGCTATTTTTAGCTTAGCCGTAAAAGTCTCTATAAAGCCTCAGATTAGGAGACCAGGAAAGTCAAGGGCCTACATCCCCTTTTTTTTCTTTCTATGAATTTTCCCATTCATTTCAATCCTAGTGTTGTTAGATATACCATATCAACACTAATTGTGGAAAACAGTTACTGGGAAAGATGTTTGTAGATCCAGGATGACTCAGGTAGTCTTAACCATGATAAATACATAAAATGAATAATAGAAGGTCTGATAATTTCATATAAAACTACACTACTAGTAGTGCACTTTCACTGCTTAACCTGCTGAAGAGGTAGGAAAAAATATGCTAACCAATAATTGCAACCAATAGCTCTGAGTTCCCCTGAAAAATATAATGGATAGATTTTCTGCAGCATGAGATTAAAGTAGATTAGCTAAAACAAAATTTGATGTATCAGATTCTAAGGTAGTCGTCTAAGCCAGTGTTTTTCAACCACTGTGCCGCGGCACACTAGTGTGCCGTGACATAGTGTAAGGTGTGCCGTGGGAAAAACAC